GGGCAAGGGCGATGTCCCTCTAGAGCTGGTGCAGCAGAGCGGTGGGTGGCCGAGGGGGTCCTGGCTGTTAACCCTCGGCCCCCTGTCCCTCACAGATGTGGATGAGTGCCAGGTGCACAACGGTGGCTGCCAGCACAGGTGTGTGAACACGCCCGGCTCCTACCTCTGTGAGTGCAAGCTCGGCTTCCGGCTCCACGCGGACGGCAGGACGTGCCTGGGTGAGCCCCCCTGCGACCCTGAGAGTGGTGCCCCCACTCTCCCAGGGGTGCCCGGGTCTGGGAGGGGCTGGGGTCCCTGCAGTCCTGGGCTGAAAGCCTGATGGGGCCCTCACGGGGCCAGTCTGCTCAGCGCAGCCGCTGTCACAGCAGGCCCTCCTGCGGCGCGTAGGTGCTGAGGGGCCTCGCCGCCCATCGGGGGCCCTCACTGGCACCGCACACGGGGGCACTGGGGCTCAGGTGGTGTAAGTGTGTCTTCGGGCCCCGAGCTCCACCTTGAGGGTGGACCCTGGGACTCCAGGCTGTGTGCCCTCTGCAGCCACAGCTGAATCTGGCTGGGATGCCGAGGCCACTTCCCCAGGGAACTCTTGTGACTTGGGGAGGAGCCCCTGGGCCGCCGCCCTCAGGGGCAGAAGCTCTGGTCGTCCAAGAGCAGGGACCCAGGTCCAGCCTTGCTGTCCCAAACTGGAGGAGACTCGGTGCTTGCTGGGTCGGGGGCGGGAGGCCCAGCCTGGGGCGGGGGCAGCGTGAGGCCACTCTTGGCCTGCAGAGCTGGGCTTCCCGGGGCCAGGTCCCCCACCCTAGGCTCGGGGAGCCCAGGGGTGGGGCTGCGGCAGGTGGGGGTAGGGGTAACCGAGAAGCGGGACCTTGGCCCACAGGTCCTCTGTGGGGTCTTTTTGCAGTGGGGAATGGGCTCGATGGGGGTGCCCGGGGTCACAGATGGCTGCCCCTGCCAGCACAGGGATCTACAGAGGGAGAAGGGGAGTGCCTGGGGCCGACTGAGTGCAGGGTGGAGGGGTGGCGGCCAGGAGCCTGGTTTTGAGCAGTTGGCACCCGCTCCTTGCCCTCCCCTGCCCTCTCCTGGCTGCTCAGGATGCAGGTGCTGTGAGCATGGGGCCGACCCCTCCCTGCTGGCCACTCACCCTACGAGGCCAAGTAGGGGTCGTAATTGGCCGGCTGGGCCCGTCGTCAGCTCCCTGGCCAGCAGGCCTGGGCAGCGCTCTCCCTGGCAGTGGGGGTTGCCCCCTCTTTCCACCCTGGACACCTCGGGCGGCCCAGGCAGGCTCTGAGCAGCCTCCAGCCTGCAGGTCTTGCAGCTCTGTGGCGGGGCGGCCTGCCAGCCCTGGGGGGCCTCCCCGGCACAGACACTCACATGTCCAGGCCGCTGCTCAGGGAGCGAGGCAGCAGCGGCCCTGTAGAGCTTCTCTGGGTTGGAAAATGAAAACAGATGCAGGAATGTTGTGCTTCAGGGCAAATACAATGGCGCGCAGCCCCCAGCTGCTGCCTGCTGGGTGGGGGGCTTCTGGGAGCCGGTGGCTGGGGGTCTTTGGCCCTGGGGCCCTCTGGTCTACTCAGGGCCCCAGGTGTCCTTCAGTCTCCCTTCCTCTGGGGCAGGTTCTCCTTGGAGAAGAGCTTCCCTGGGGCTGGTCCAGGATGGGCTGGGCTGGGCCTGGTGAGGGCCCACTGACCCCTCCCATACTGGCTCCTCTGAGAGGGGCCTGTGACATCGCCCCAGTCTCCCCTAACCCTCCCTGATGGTGGCCTTCACTGAGCTGCCAGATGGGTAAACGGCACGCACAGGGGAGGGTGCCCTTCAGGGCTTTTGGAGGGACCGTGATGGCCTTTACGAGTGGCCTTGAGCTTCTGGCTTTGGAAACCCTGGAGGGGTCCTCCTCAGCCTTGCCCCTGGCCCCTAGCCCACTCCACCCCACCCCATCACTACACTGGAGCCCCTCCCTGGTGCCTTTCCTGGGAGATACCTATTCTTGGGGGTCTCAGAAGTCTTGATTTGTGGCACTTGCTTATTTTAAAGGGTCTTTTTGGGGTCTGATGCCAGGGTCCCCTGCGTGGTCTGCACAGCCCGGCATGAGGCTGCTGGGACTCCCTGCCCCCTCTGCCTGGCATCCCCGCTCCCCACACTCTGCACACCCAGCCTGCAGCCCAGGGGTCTGCAGCTCAGCTGGGTGCCGGTGCCTGCCTCCGGGCCACCCCCTGCGCACGGGCCACTCCCGGGCGCTGGCCTCTCCCTGTGGCCGGAAGTGCTCTCCCACACTGCTGTGAGCTCTAGTCCG